GTTCCAACATCTGCCAATCTGGCGATACTAACACTACTCCTGCCCCTGCTCTTTATTGGTTTGAACTCCTATCAACAAACAGGCGAAAGATGTCGCCGATGTAAATACTGCAGGGCCTGAGTTTCTCTTCTTTCCTCTGTTCGGCTATCCCCAGCTGGGTTTCTCCTTGTTCAGCTGGACATCATATACCTCGGCTCAACGGAGCCCAATGTATGATGGCACCTGGTGTGAACTTGGCCACCAAGTCGGCCAAAACTTGGCCTGTGATTGTTGTTCTATATCTGAATTACAGGTCATATTGACCCAACACCACTGCCCATCTGGCTATCCTGCCTGTCAAATCTTCTTGCTGCAACAGGGATTTCAAAGGGTGCTCACTTAACACCACAATCTTGTGGGCTTGAAAGTAATGGTTCAGCTTATTGGAGGCCATTACCAAAGCTAGTGTTAGCCTTTCCAAAGGTAGATATCTGGTCTTTGCATCTACTAGGGTTTTACTCACATAGTAAACTGCCCTCTGTTCTCCCTTATCTTCCTTGATTATCACTGCACTTACTGCATGCTCTGAGACCGCCAAGTATAAGAGCAGCTCCTCTCCAGGTACTGGATTTGAGAGAACTGGAGCTGTGGTCAAGTATTTCTTCAAGTCGGCCAAGGCGACTTCGCACTCCTCTGTCCATAAGAAGTTTGCGGCTTTCTTCACTAAACTGAAGAAAGGTTTGCATTTATCAGAACTTCTGCTTATGAATCTGTTTAGGACTGCAGCTCTTTCAGTCAGCATCTGCACTTGTTTTGCCAACGTTAGGCTCTTTAACTCCAAGATGGCCTTGATTTGATCCGGGCTTGCCTCAATGCCCTTTCTGGTGACCAAGTATCCCAGGAATTTCCCTGACCTAACTCCAAATGCACACTTCGATGCATTGAGTCGGAGCCGAAATGTCCTTCGGATATCAAAGACTGTCGTTAGGTCGGCCAGATGATCCTCAGGTTCCTTGGTCTTCACGACCATGTCATCAATGTAAACCTCCACTGTTTTACCTATTAGATGCCTGAACATCTTAGTCACCAATCTTTGGTAAGTTGCTCCTGCATTTTTCAACCTAAAAGGCATCACTCTATAACAATACAGCCCTTTTGGGGTGATAAATGCGGTTTTCTCCTCATCTAAAGGGTACATGGCTAATTAATGATACGCTCTGTAAGCGTCCAGGAAGCTCATCCTTCCATGCCCTGAAGTGGCATCCACCAATTGGTCAATCTTGGGAAGAGGGAAACTGTCTTTGGGACAAGCCTTGTTCAGGTTGGTGAAGTCCACACAGACCCTCCACTTCCCATTCTTTTTCTTTACAACCACCGTGTTTGATAACCATGTCGGGTAATTTACCTATTGAATGGCTCTGGCCTCCAGAAGTTTATCCACTTCCTCTTCTACTGCCTCAACATGCATCAACGTCAGCCTTCTTGCTCGCTAGATGACAGGTTTAGCCAACCTGTCCACATTTAATTTATGGCAAGTGACTTCGGGGTCAATGCCAGGCATCTCGTACAGTGTCCAAGAAAACACCTCAAAGTTTTCTTTCAAGAATGCTTCTAACTCACTTTCCTCTTCCTCGGCCAAGCTTGAGCCGATGAGAAAGAAGCGTTCTTCATCCCCTTGCTGGACTAAAATCTTCTTCAGGGCTTTCTCACTTTTCTCGGCTGGTTCCTTGCCAACGTCATCAAGGACCTCCATGTCTTCGTCTTTAATCTCTGCTGCTTCTGCTTCTCATATGTTGCAGGTGGATTTCATTGCTGCCATGGAACAATTCTTTGCCTGTACTTAATCCCTTCTGACCTCCTCAATTCCATGTTCTGTTAGGAACCGCAACAACTAGTGCAATGTTGAGGGAACAACTCCCATTGCGTGTAGCTATGGCCTTCCCAGGATAACATCGTAAGGGGAGGGAGTGTCAATTATTGTGAGCTCAGTTTTTACCTTCTTGGTGCCAGCCTGCACCTCCAGACTTACTGCTCCTAGGGGCCATGTTGGTGTTCCATTGAACCCGACCATTGGACCATTGGATTGTTTCAGATCATCTTGGTGAAGGCCAAGCTCCTTGTAACACCTGACGTATATGATATCACAAGAGCTGCCCTGGTTGATCAGAATTCGTTTTACCTGGCACTCTCCAATTCAGAGGGATATTATCAAGGCATCATTATGTGGATACTGCGCCATCTCTAGGTCGTCTTCAGTAAAGGATTCCACTGGTCCTTGGCACTCGTCTGCCCTAAGTCTCTTTTGCCGGACCTGATACACATGTTGCAAGTGCTTTACCTTCTGAGTTTCCCCACGTATCTCGTTCTCATTAACCTTCAAGTGAATCACATTGATCCTTCGAGGTCCGCCTGCTTGCAGTTGCGGTGTTGGTAGAGGTGGTGCTGCCGGTGCCTGAGGCAGTCGCGCTTGCTTTTCCCTTGTCCTGGTTTCATTTACCAGGTCCCTTAGATGACATTGTCTTACCAAGTCTTCTAGATGTGCCTTTAGGGCTTTGCACCCTTGAGTTAGATGCCCATCTTTGTTATGGTAGGCACAGTGTTTCCCCAGACTTCTTCCCATAAATTCACCAGGAAGCTTCTCTGGTGGTCTATAATAGGGCTGATTCCGGATTCTTTTCAAGACTTTGTAAAATGGAATTCGGAATACGGTTGTGACTGCTTGTGTAGCCCTCAGTCCTGTCTCTTGCTTGTTGTATCCAGTGTTACCTCGACCTCACTTCGACGAGTCGTTTCTCTTCTCTTATTTTGTCACCTTCGTCCCTGGTGTGTCCTCCTCAGCCCTGACATACTTTTCTACCCTGGCCATAGTTCCTCTATACTTTTTGGCAATGTTTTTGCCAGTGATTTTCGAAGCCGGCAATCATTTTTCAGGCCGTTCTTAAAAGACACGACTACCACCTCTTGGTTGCATCCAGGTATTCGGTTGAACACCTCATAATACCTCTTAGCGTAGGCCCTAAGGGTTTCATTCTCGCCAATTCTCAGAGCCATTAGGGAGTCCACCCTCAATGGCTGTAGTTTGTTCATCACAAAACCTAGCTACGAACATCTCAGTCAGGCCTTCCCAGCTTTTCACAGTTCCTTTCGGCAACTTGTGAAACCAGTCTGATGCGATTTTCCCAAAGGATGAGGGGAACACATTGCAGAGCAACGACTCGCTCACGATGTATAATGACATTGAGTTCAGGTACAAGCCGACATGAAAATTCAGGTCTGACTTACCGTCGTATATCTGGAATCTCAGCATGTGGAACCTTTTCGGAGCCTCAAATTTGTCCAATTCAACCGAGAACAGCGTTCTCGGCTTGACTGGTGAGGTTACCTCGGCATCTTGTCGCTTCCTCTGGAGGTAATCCCTCAAGTCCTCATTGGTTTGTCAGGAGCTCGGCTATCAATGGATTTTAGCCTTTTCGGTGCGCTACTCCCAGTATCGTTATGAGTCCTTTTGGACCTTTCTTCATTAGTTGCGTTGAAACACAGTTCTTTCCCTTGAACATGCCGATGTTCTTTGGGGTGAATTTCTTTGGTATGATGCGTCATCCGAGAATCTCCTTTCATTGACTCTGCTCGCCCGACCTCCCTTGAAGGCCGATAATAGTGTTCCTTGGTCCTAGCGTGCTAAGGGACTGTAGGGACTGTTTTTTGCCCTCCCTTCTGGGCATTGTTCTTGGCCGCTGGAATCGGCATGTCTTGTAATGGGAACGGTGGCTACATGACGTTGTTCTGCATTATGAAATTGATGACCGATTGCAGGTCCGCCAATTTGTTCGTCATTCCCTTCATCTCGTCGTCCCTTCATAAGCATCTTTCTTTCCATACCTAGAGGTCGTCCTCGTTATAATACTCGCTTTAGTTTGATTTCTTCGGCATGTCGCCCTCCTAGCTGATGTCCTCTTCTCCGTGATTCTTATCACGAGTTTCTTCATTGTAGTTGTCTTATTCGACGCCAAGGTCAATATGTTTCCCACTCTCAATAAGGGTGTCGTCCCCAACCTTCTCTTTTGGTCTGTCGTTGGCCATCTATTCTCCTTTTGTTTCCACAGATGGCGCCAAATTGTGTGCCAATTTCCGACCACACTGCCAATCAAGCACTCAACTGGAGAACACTGGCAGAATAGATTAAGCCCGAACGACCTGTCACAAAAAGAAGAGATTCTGGCGGTGGTTCGTCCACCCGGGTGCACTCCGACGATCAAGTTAGTTATCTCTCAACGATAAATCAAGTGCTTAACTCACTATTCAGAATACAAACTATGTACCTTAGACCCATGGGGGTGCCTTTCTTTTATAGTTAATTCAATCCTAGTCCCAATAGAAGTCTTGCTTCAATGGACTTCTAGCTTAGTGCTTATCATGGACTGTTCAATAGATAAAGATAAATTTCCTAAGAGTTTTATCCTTATCTAGGTTGAAGTCTTTTCTCATTCTAGGACTCTTGTCCCTTATTCGCTTATCCTGGATTTCGATATATTCGAAGATAACCTCGGCCTAGCCGAGATCACCTCGGCGTCGTCACTAGAACACGTGACACCTCGGTTGACACGTCGGCGTCACAATGGCCACGTGTTGATATTCAGAAAATATATCCCCACATTATGTATTCAAAATAAACTTTGAAGACATACAATCACGTATCAACTAAGAATTCTTGACAATTAGATTACTCGTAATATAATTCCATTCCTAAAGGCAAGTGCTCCCTACAACAAAGTGGTGTGAGTTCACTCCCCCAAGTAACTAAACCCTTTTGTTCAATTAAAATAAGAAAGAGAAAATATCAGACTTTTTGTTGTATGATATGATTATTGTTTTTTTTGGTTACACGAATGATATGATTTTTAATTTCTTGCTACCATTCAAATTCAAAGGCATTTGTCCTATTAAATCAAAACCAATCTCATCCTTACTCAAATTTTAATTGGTCTGGAAGTTGTGTTGAAAACTACTGTGCTTAGACAGTATAAATGAAAAACACAAACATTGTTTTAACATATAACAAATCGAATCAAATCAAACCGAAGTCTTACACGGACAGCCCACAGGAAATTATTACACATTAAAAATTGCAAACTACCAAAGTTGTACAAGTATATGAGAGGCCATGTACCAAAGTAGTCTCGGATCCCAGAACTCAGAAGCCACGACTGTTCTCATCCTTGACCACGGTCACCGGACAATTTGCGTTCACTAAGACATGGCCGGTCACGCTCCCCAGCAGAACCCTTTAAATGATCCGTCAGTTCAAGAAAAAAAAAAAAAAACACAATCAGGTTGTTGCAAATCCAATGATTTGAGTTTTTGATTTTCTTTCCTGAGAAACAAGCAAATATTGAATAAAATGATAACAGCGGATCTACTTGCATAGAATCCGAAAAGATAACAGAGCAGACCCATCTCCATCTCTGTTCTGTGATCCTTTTTGTGAACGGATTCTGTAAGTAGATTTTCGATAAATACCTTTGGATAGTACCAAGTCCTCTGCTTCCCATGATCAAACAATCCAGCTTCAGCCCTGCAACAGCCTCACATAGTTTATCTCTAGCATCTCCCCAGTAAATCTTTCCAACAACAGTGATCTGTACTCAGAATTCAATAAACATGTAAATAACATACATAAGAGTATGTATGTAAATAACATATATAGATTAGATATAGAATCAGGATAAACCTCTTTTTGCCTGCAAGTAGTGCCAAGAATCCCAAGAACCTCAGGATCAAACTTGACACCGTACGTCTGTGATACCTCCTGATCACCGAGCTCCGCCAATGGAATCAGAGCTGCAACAAACATCTACTTATCAGATCAAATCAAATTTAAAAAAAAAATAAAAAAAATTCATGACGAACAAAGAAAAATTAGTAGATTATTGAGATTAGTACAGACGTGAACCCGTGGTGGACCAGAGGAGATTGCGAGATTCATCCCCTTCATAGGGCATGACATGGATTATGAAAAGGGTGTCTTGTTTGTCAAGCAGATTATCAACAGCCCATTTTAGAGCTAACTTACTTCCCTTTGAGAAGTCCATGGCCACACCTATCTTTCTGTCTTTGGTCATTTCCCTTTTTGGGGATCTTCTTCGGTGTTCAATTCCAGAAACAAGAACAATAATAACACTGCAAGACCAAAGACTTGCAGTTTGAGGCTAAAATTTCACTCAGATGGGAAGTTATAGATGATGATAGTGTGGTGGTGGTTTGAAATTCTGGTTTAAGTCTTAATTTAGGCTTTTTTTATAGTAATTTTTAATTTTTTTGGCTAAAATATGATGTAAAAAAAAGAATAATGCTATGGATCATGAAAAAAATATCATGAAATGTATCATGAAGATTTTTCATCATTTGATTAGTTTATGGTGTTTTATAAGATGTATAATCCAAAGGTGAAAAATCTTTCATAATTATCTTCATGATATTTTTTTCATAATTCCTAACATTACTAAAAAAAACCTATATGTTTGAAATGATTTTTTAATTTTTTACGAAAAGATGTGCAAAAAATAGAGAGAAAATGAAATCTTTGACTTCTTGGTATTGTTGACTTTTTATTTTTTTTAAGTGACTTTATGACTTTTAGGCTAAAAAGTCATATAATCACTTAAAAGAACAAAAAGCAACTAATACCAAGAAGTCCAAAAATTTCAAGTTTTCTCCTTCTATTTTTTTGGGCACATCTTTTCGTAGAAAATTAAAATCATTTCCAGAACATTATGTTTTTTTTGAAAGTTTTAAAAAAATTGTTGGAAAAAAATTCATGAAAAAAGTATGCAATGAAGATTAATTATGAAAGATTTTCAGCCCTTTGGATTATACACTTATAAAAACACCATACAACTATCAAATGATGAAAAATCTTCATCGATACATTCCTGATATTTTTTTCCATGATCCATAGCATTATTTCTTTTTTTACAGTACATATTTTAGCCAAAAAAATTAAGAGAATTACTAATAAATTAAAGCCTAAATTAAGACTAAAACCAAGAATTTCAAAACCACCACCACATATCTCACATATAAACTTCCATCTGAGTGAAATTTTAGCCTCAAACTGCAAGCCTTTGGTCTTGGCAGTGCGTTATTTATTTTCTTGTTTTCTGGAATTGAAACCGAAGAAAATCCAAAAAGGGAAATGACCAAAAGACAGAAAGATAGGTGTGGCCATGGACTTCTCAAAGGGAAGTAAGTTTGTCTAAAATGGGCCTGTTGATAATCTGCTTGACAAACAAGACACCCTTTTCTAAGTCCATGTATGCCTAATGAAGGGGAATGAATCTCGTCAATCTCCTCTGGTCCACCACGGGTTAACGTCTGTACTAATCTCAATAATCTACTAATTTTCTTTGTTCGTCATGAATTTTTTATTTTTTTTTAAATTTGATTTGATCTGATAATATAATGTTTGTTTTCAGGCTCTGATTCCATTGGCGAGCTCGGTGATCAAGGAGGTATCACAGACGTACGGTGTCAAAGTTTGATCCTGAGGTTCTTGGATTCTTGGCACACTTGCAGGCAAAAAGAGGTTTATCCTGATTCTTATATCTAATCTATATATGTTATTTACATACATAACTCTATGTATGTTATTTTACATGTTTATTGAATTCTGAGTAGCAGTCATCTGTTGTTGGAAATGATTTCTGGGGAGATGCTAGAGATAAACTGATGTGAGGCTGTTGCAGGGCTGAAGCTGGATTGTTTGATCATGGGAAGCAGAGGACCTTGGTACTTATCCAAAAGGTATTTATCGAAAATCTACTTACTAGAATCCGTTCACAAAAAGGATCCCAGAAGCAGAGATGGAGATGGTCCTGCTCTGTTATTTTTCGATTCTATGCAGAGTTAATTCCGCTTGTTATCAAATTTATCAAATTGCTTGTTTCTCGAAGAAATCAAAAAACTCAATCATTGGATATTTGCAACAACTCTGATTGTGTTTTTGTTTTTTTCTTGAACTGACGGATCATTTATAGGGTTCTGCTGGGAGCGTGACGCCTGTCTTAAGTGAATAGCAATTGTCCGGTACCGTGGTCAAGGATGAATGAACAGTGCCGTGCTTCTGAGTTCTGGATCCGAGACACTTTGGTACATGGCCTCTCCATATACTTTAACAACTTTGGTCGT